TTCGTTGAAACTCTCGAAAAATTCAAGACTAATTCGTGTTGCAAAAGGAAGCGAGAAAGGGTTGGTGTTGTTAATAAAACTTAGTTATTGGCCATTCCACGCCTGTTCGCTTGATACTTTGAAATCTTTTTTAAAAATTCGTTGATCAGTAGAGTTTAGGAGATCATACAGAATGCCCGGAGGAGGATTTGGAAAAGTGATTTCCTTGCCAAGTTATAGTGCTAAAAAGTTGCAAAATTTATCAAGTCGATACTTGTCATACCTGTTTTTGAAGACTTGTTATCTAGTTAAACTTTGGGGATTTGCAGATTCTGAGCTCATTGAATTTTTCTTTTTTTTTTTTTTTTCGAAGGATATCTAATAATGTAACCTATAAATACTGCAAAAACAAAATTTTAAGTATGTGTAAAAGATGAAACATTTTTTTAAATTTAAAAAAAAAATGTTTTGTACTTAATTTTTGCTGTGTAATATGTCAGGTTTTGGTGACGGTAATTTTCTAGATTTGGGAGTTGCAAGCTGGAAAAGGTCCTGAGATTAAAAAATTCCCGTTGTATTTACAGTAATCCCGCGCATTTGACAGTGGCAAAGCAATCTTGAGCTGCTTTGGAAACGCGCGAAGAGTGAAACCGCAGTATGTTTTAATTGTCAAGGATTTATTAAAGGATTTAAAATTTTACCAATTTATTAATCTGTGGAGTTGTGTGAAGTAGCCCTCAATCAGTCTTTTCTATATCTCACCTTTCTGCCAAATTGTGCATCTAGTACGTATTTTAGCGTCATCAGAGAGTACAGAAGTCTGGTACTTTAGCTGGTTGAATGCTGGGTTCAGGTTTTTCCTAACGTTGTTATAGTCTGGCCGGTTTAAGAAACTACAGTAAACGAGGTTAAAGGAAGGAAGAGGAGCTGAGTTTATATTTGCTTGTATAACTAGAACTCTGGAGAGTAGAGTACAAGTACGTTCAGAGGAGCTTAAGAGTCTTTTTCATGAATACAATTCAGGGAGCAGACGACTTTGTTTCTGCGCTGACCTCTCAAAACCCGAAATGCCTCGAGTTACATGCATTCTTGTCCTTGAAACCGACATATTTCATGAAGTTTACGTTGCAAATAACATCACTACTGCCTGTGTTTTGTAAGACATTTTCGTCTCACTGACATTTTCAGGTTACCGCAATACGTAGGAAGGAGAAAAGACTAGAATGAAGGCTACTTTTTACAGCTCTGCAGATTAATAAATATTTAGTAAATCAATCTTGAAAGACTTAAACATACAGGGGTTCCTTAGTCACTCTTTGTAGGTTTCTGAAAGAACTCAAGACGGTTTTACTACTATAAAATACGCGGGTTTCTGTAGAAAGTACGTATTTTCCGTCTCATAGTCTTTTTCAGCTCACCAACTTGTGATTTGTTATAGAACCAAGATATTTTTTTCTAGGAATTCAAAGACACATTTCCTAATACGTCTATTTGAAACGTCGTCTTTATTGTATCTATGCAGCCATTCGGCAGAATTAAATCGTTCAATATGCTCTCAAAATAAGGCATGACAAAGCCAGAGAGCTATAAACCCAAAGTTCTATTGAGATTTAGCTGAATGACAAGTTTCCAAAGGCAGACATGTCAAGTAGGAATCTGGTAAATTTTACGACTTCAGGGAAGTGTAACTTGGCGGGGGATCCATCTTTCCGGGTCCCGTCTTCGGCATTTCGTATGCTGGCTGAGACCTTACCAAACAGCAAAGCTTCAAAAAAGTATGCGATTTGGCTTGGAGTGGTCCTTATAAGTAGTTGTTATCTGTTAAGCAATGAAGAGTAAGTTCAAGAATAAGCTGCTTACTTAGCTGCTCAGAAACTTTGTGAGCCTGAAAGAAACGAATTTATGAGCACTTAACAACCAACCTCTCCATATTCGTCAGTTGACGTAATACTTTTACTGCGCAACGACGATACGGACGCAACATCTGGAATTGTTTGCCCTGTTAAAGCTTGAGTCTGTCGTTCCGATGTTGCTAACCGCACCTAAATGGACAAGCTTACCGCAGCTGCAGTTTTATCACCAACTTTTTTTTGACCTTGATGGTAGAAGTTGGGTAGAACATTGCTGATGGTAGAAACTTTGTCAGCAAGCAGTCTCGATCGAG